ACACCTCTGCCCTGCCCCTCTCCAGTGTTCAGCACCTCTTCCCCCTCTGCCCCAGACACTCCACAGCAGTTCTGCCCAGGATGCCAAGCTTCCTACTTACACATCTGCGTCTGTGCAGCCTCCCAACATCTATGCTGCAGGTAAAGGGGAACAGCAGAAGTTGTACACCTGCTCCTCTATCCAGCTTAGGGAAGTGGGTAAGACCTTGATGTTGTACCATAACGCAGATTCAACACAACTGAGCTAATGCTCAATGTAAGCAATAGCAATCTTCTGTTGCTCAAGGCCAGAAGATTATTTTTTCCTGGAAGCACAGAAGAGAAGGCCATAATCCTTGCTTTTGGCTGCACATCCCCTCCTACAATAGAGCTAACTGGAAAGAGACCATCTAAGGTAGGGTTTGGCAACATTTTTGGGCAGTGCCAAAAACACCTGTAACCTAGACTTGTAAGATGTTGGCGTGCCAGGGGAGGTCGGTGGGGGAATCATGAGGGGCCCAATCCTTGTGGTGGCAGTGCAACCCTGGCCCTTCCCACTGTGTGCCCCGAGGCATGCATCAAGAAAAATGCCTTCACATGCCACACTTTAGCACGTGTCCTGGGTGTTGCCTATTCCTCATCTAATGTATGTTCAAGACACTGAGAACAGTTTTAATTACAGAAATCTCATTGGTGTTAATGGAAATCAAACGTGGCATAAATACTTTTCACATTACTTGCTTTTTTCTTTTGTTAAAAGCAGTCAATGCCATTTAAAAACAGGAGTTACCATTCTGAATCAGATTATCAAGTCAAATACCACGCCTCTAGCAGCAACCAGGAACTGAAACTCTTCCTCCTCTTCTCTCTTACATTCTACAACACTGCACAACTCATTTGACTGGTGCAAAGGAGGAATAGTCCTTCTATCCTTTGTAGAAAATAAGTTTAATCCCAAAACCATAAAATGTGTTTAGCAATGTATTGAAAAGGTGTGACACGGAAATGCTGGTAAGAAACTAAATTTGATGTCTTTAATGCCGGTTACATAGCATGGGTCAAGCATCCAAAAATGTAGACTTTCATTATGTCAGCAGCTAATGCTATGATGCATGTTACTGTCTTGCTTTATTATGTATTAGCAGTAAATAACTGTTAAATATTCTTCAGGGAAGTGCTGTGACAAGCAGAGCTGGTGCCTGGAGAAAACCCTATGGGAGAGCAAGGAGGACACAGGTTTTGATAGTGGGGTGATGGGGCAGGAGGTCACATGTTTCAAGAGCAGGTGCGGGGTACATAGGTTCTGAGAGTGGGGGCTGACGGGAAGCAGTCTCACCCATGCTGCCCCAGCTGAGCTGCTGCTATTTTTCCTGTCCTGACTGTTTTGGAGTTCAGCATAAGTGTCCTGCTGGGTTGTGGGCTCTGTGGGGGTTGAAGGAGTGAATCCAGCACCCACTCATAACTTGGCACCCTGGGTAGATGCCACTCTCACCCATCCTTAATTACGCTACTGTTTGAGAAAACTAAAGAGGGCCACACCCTTAGACAGATCTAGGATTTTGCAAAAGGAGGTGCAGATGGAGTGGTGCCTCATCATCGCATATAACATAACATTGTTCTCCTGATAAAAAGAAACTAGAACTTCACTAATAAGTAGAGGCCTAGAGCTATAGCATTCCATTTAAGATGGAAGCAAAAAAAGAATATATTGGAATGTACATTAATTTGCTATATCCTATATTATTTATAAAAATACCAAATGCTAGGCAAAACTAATCCAAAGTTCGTTTCAGTCTTCAGTTTTTTTATGAATCTAAAAAAAGAAGGTGTCTTTTTTTTAGATTCATAAAACAAAATCTAGCCTTCTTGAACATCTGAACAATGCGTCCAATGCTGAAAGTGATTTCCACCCCACAGCTAATGTTCACCTGAGTTCATATTTCCACACCGGAATTCATCTTTTTAGCTAGAGTAAAAACTGTCATGGGGGCTAGGAAGTGGATGCAACCTGACTAGGAGCAGTGAACAGAGAGCAGTACTGAAGAAGGAAGGCAAGCTGAAGTAGTGGAACCATTAAAGACCATTTAAAAGGAAAAAAGGTCATTCACACATGTGGAATGAAGAGTTTAGAAAGAATCAAGCAAATTATGATGAGCCATGAAGTCAACTGACTATATCACTGCTGCCTAAACAGAAATGCCCTGCCACTGCCGGGAGGTTATCTTTTGGGTGGCCCAGGAATCAAAGGGGGGCTGCAAACGCACCTCCCCTGGATCTGCCCCGGCCACATCCCCTGTTACAGAGGAAAGCAAACCCCCCACAATCCATACCAATTTGACCATGGGGTAAAATTCCTTCCTGAAAGTAAATGTAGCATTTGGCCTACTCCTGAGTGGATAGGCAAGACCCTCTAGCCAGGAACCTCTAGGTTTAGTCCCAGCAGCATTGGCACACTCCAGTCAAAATCCCCAGCCATGGCTGCAGCCAACACCCAATGCTTCTGAGGAAGGCAACCCCCTCCTGGCTCCGACCCCCAACACTTGTAGTAACAGGAAGGAAGAAATTTCTTCCCAGCCCTGTGTGGCAACCAGCATCCCAAGAAGCATGAAAAATACCCATAACATAGTATAGGCATAGGTACTTCTGGATCGTCTCTGATCGATGCTTATCCAACTTCTTGAACACCTTCAATGATGGAGATTCCACAGTTTCCTTAGGCAGCCCCTTCCACTGTCTCACTGCTCTAATAGTGAGGAAATTTGTCCTGACATCCAATATAATCCTACACTGCTGCAGCTACAAGCCATTGGCTTGTATCCTGCTCTCTGCAGCAAGACATTAATGGCGTTTTCTCTCTTCTTCATTGTAGCCCTTCAGATATTTGAAGACAACTATCATGTCCCCTCTTAAGTGTCTTTTATGCAAACTGAGCAAGCCTATCTTTCAACCCCTCCTTATATGTCTTGCCTTCCAAGCCCTTTACTGTTTTTCATGCCTGTTTCTGGACCCTCTCTAATTTCTCCACATCCTTTCTAAAATGTGAAGTCTGTTTGGCTGCAGGTACTGTTTCTGGCAGGTTAGGCATCGTCCCTGTTAGTTCAGCGAATTCTTTTACTCGTGTTGCTTGTGGGGTGCTATCAGATGTTGCGGGGGTTGTGGGGAGTGCTTTACTGAAAGAACCAGCACATTAGTTTGACCAGGTTCTGCAGAGGGGGCTGGAGAGACAGCCACTTGTTCTTCTACTCTTCAGCAGAAAAAGCCACAGTTACCAGCATTTTCCTACAGGCCTCATAGCTCAGAAAGTGCTTTGAAATCAGTTATCTCTTTTCTGCCAAAAGAAGAGCTTTAATCACTTTTATGGTCACAAAGGAGTTTGGTGCATGTGTAATATCAAAGCTATGCTCTTAGACCAAATTCATCAGAATTGCCTGAACAAGTGTAGGATTGGTCCCTCAGTGACCTTCTGCACCAGTGAAATCCACATTGGTTATCTGCCCAATTAAATAAAGACTTGTTTATAATCTATTTAATTTACAAAACCGGTTGCTGCCAAATACTGGGCAAGGTAAAAGATGGCCCTGTTAACTTTTCACTGTGCCCTCACTAAGCTTGAACAGCTCCACTAGTTTCCCCTTAATTTGCTCTTTGCAAAACTAAGTAATTCCAGTCCATGTCTATCCTCTAAGCACTTTAGTTGCCTGCCTCCTGCTCTTTTCAGTCTCTGCCAAACTTTTCATGAGAAAGGCTGACTAAAACTGAGCACAATGCCCCAGCTGGCGACCCTGCATTGTTTCATCTAATGTTGTTGCAATATATTCCCTATTACTCCCTAAATCTACAAAGCCTATATTTGTTTTTAAATACCAGCAGATACAAGCACTTAGCAATCCATAACAGGGAGGGAGCTGACTTTATAACTGTTTGAAATTCAACTAAAGAGATGCCAAGATAGGCAGAGAAGGTGACTTCTGCTAAGTCTGCACACCAGATTGTGCAAACTATTTTGTAGTGGGAAGCAGGGATCCTTTATTTATAGGTTCTCACTCCCCCAAACACTCATTGTGGCTCTGTATAACTGCAGTAAAAGGCTAAGGATACTAAACAGCCAATACAAACTTCATGTGAAAGTGCAAAGTAGCCTTTGGACTTTCTCTCTAGCTGGCTTAGCCTCTTTCCCAGTGGTGTTTTCACTAGGACTGAGTTTTGTCATGCTACTTTTCAGGGCTTATTCTTGTTATTCTTGCCAACATCATCTCCCCGCCCCCTTCTGCCGCCCAGATCAGTGAACGGTTGATCTAGAGAAGTAACATATTTCTGACTGGCCTTATTTTTTTGACCATATCACTCTTTGCTCTGTTTATTCCCCCCTCCCCATAATTAAAACTCTGCTTCACTGAACTACTGGTCCTTCCTTTCCTTCTTATTCATAATATCATAGAAAGTGAGGGTCCAAAGGCACCTCAGGAGGTCATCTAGTCCAAGGCCCTGCTCAAAGCAGGACCAGCCCCAACTAGATCGTCCCACCCAAGGCTTGGTCCTGCTGGGCCTTAACGATGTCCAAGGATGGAGATCCACCTCCACCTCTCTGGGTAACCTGCTCCAGTGCTTTACTACCCTCCTGCTGAGCAAGTTCTTTCTATTATGTAACCTAAACCTCTCTTGCTTCATCTTCAACCTCAATCCCTCTACCTTGCCCTGTGCAGCCAGGATCTCCTCTAGTCCCCACTTCCCTCCCTCCTTAGGTCACCCTTCCCAGCTGCAGCAGGGGCCGTGGGACTTCCTGGGAGCAGCGAGGAGACCCGGTAGCTCTCGGTGCGCGGCGCTGCACGTGGGAAACACCGAGTTGGAGCCTTTGTACCGAGCAGTCCCAGACCACCAGCGAGGGAGAAGGCGAGAGACAAGCGGCTTGCCGCAGCTGAGGGGGCTACAGAGGGAGGGCGGAACCACAGCGCGCGGCCGCTTGCTCCCAAGGGGAGCGTTTTAGTGACGGACCGGGCCCGGAGCGCACGTGGGAGGACATGGACGGAGAGGAGGAGGGCAGCGGCGGCAGCCGGGCCTCGGCGGCGGGGCAAGAGTGGGGCGCCCGTGGCAACTGGATGGTGACTCACCCCAAGGTAGGCGGGGCCTTCTGGCGGCCGGGGACGGGGGCGCGGGGCCTTGCCCTTGCAGCTGCCGCACAGCTGGATGCGGCCCTGAGCGCTCCCCGCGCCTTCGTCCTGCCGCCCTGTGGCTGCTTTGCCCGCCCCCTGCCCAAGAGGGCACTGGGCGTCTTGCAGTCAAGTTTGCTTTGGGTTTATTTTATGTTGTTTTATTTGCCTATTAAAGAGAGAAGTAACAAACAGTGTTTTGTTTCTCACCCATCTGTACCCAAACTGGGATTTGAGGGGTGGTTTGGGGGTTGGTTTTTATTTTGGGGGTGTTTTTTTGCTTAGCTTTATTTTGTACTGTGCAGGTGCACTTTAAGGTGCTTTTCCTACTGAGCATCACATGCAATGCCTCCAATCCGAGGACTCCTATACACATACAGGGAGGCTGCTCCCACGCCCTGTAATTTTAGGTGTTGGAGCAGTCTGCTGGAGCGTGGTAATCACCAGGGCCAGCCCACAGTTTTTGGGCCCCCCTGCAAATTATAGTTTTGGGGCCCCCTGATGCGGAGAAGCCGGGGCAGGAGGGGGTGGCGCCAGAGTTCACGGCTGCAGGGGGCCCTTGGCTGCGGGGCCCCCCTGTAGATGCAGGTTTCACAGGATAGGACAGGCTAGTCCTGGTAATCACCATGCTTCAACAGACTCCAGCGTTACGTGTATCAGCGTCCCCACGCCGAAAAATGGCTGTGGGATGCTTGAAACTAAAGCTCATTCAACAAGCTCTAGTTCAAAGTGCTCTGCTGCCTTTTTTCAGTGTGAGGACGCTGATCCATGTGATGCTCTGGCGCTTTGAATTAGCTCAGCTCCAAGAACTGCGCTAATTAGCCCCCATGGCCGCCCCCCCCGGCTCATCTACAAATGCCATTGAGGACTAAACAAATGCACATTAGGTTTCCTTGATGCACAGTAATGATCCTGTGTAATTTTTAGTTGATGCTTAATGCACAGTAGCCTATTTCACTGTGCATTAGTGAAATAGCACTTTTTTTATGTGATGCTTTAATGCACAGTAAAATAAGCTACTGCCTATTAAAGCTCATGTGATTGGCGTGCCTAGTAACAGCAACCCACAAGCCGCTTCAGCAGCTTATTCAGAATCTTGACAGTGAATTTTACCTTGAGTTTGCCTGTTCCATGCATCTCAGGTGGCTAAAAGCCTGTTTATTAAAACCAAAGCTGGCTGGGGGCGGTTTTCCCCTACCGGTGCCTCCTATTTCATGATGACTTTTGCTTGATTTCTTGAAGAAACGTTTTTTGTTGTTGGGTTTTTGTTGTTTTTTGGGGGGTTTTTTTTTTTTGACTTCTGACAAATCCAAGCTGGCTGCTTTGCAGTAGGTTTACCCCACCAGTCTCTCGGTCTCTACCTCTCTACAGTGCAACTCAGCTAAATAAAAGAAAACCAATGATTGAATTTCCCTGGGAGAGGAGAGAGGATAGGTCAATTACAGTAATATATTTCAATCTATAGTTTATGTGATGAGCACTTAAATAGAACCAAGCCAGACACAGTGGTACAGAGTGCCTTTCCTTTCCACTCCCTCATTCCTCCTCCTGTTTTTATAATTAATTTTCATTATTATTTTGATATTATTTATTTGCATGTTGCTTCGCAGGCATTTTTTTAAAGCATCATTCTGATCCTAAAGACCTTCTATTTGTAAATTCCTTAGGACAGTGGTTCCAAAGCTCTGACAGATTGCGTGCCAGCAATTTAAAATGATACAATCTTAAGTACCGCCAGGTGGGGTGTGGGGTGTGTATATGGTAGGGTGTGTTGGGGGTTTGTGAGGATGTGTAGGGGGAACATAGGCTATGTTGGGAGGTTGTGTATATGTGGCGGGTTCTGGGGGCGGGGTTTGGGTGTGTGTGGAGGGGTGTGGGGACCCCCGCATTCCCCCCATGGTGCAGCAGCACATGGGGATACTCAGTAGGGCATGACTTCAGCCAGCGCTGCACATCATGGCAAGGGGCGCATCCTCTGTCGGGCAGTCTGTATTGCCAGTGTTTCCCACACTTGCCAGGTACAGGAGGGAAGCACCGCACGTTGGAGCTGGCTGCCTTCCCCACTTCCCAGGTGAAGGTGCCTCGAGCTTCCCTCCTGTGCCCTGCAGCCCTGGCTGGGAAAGCAGGTGGCCTCAGCACGCGGGGCTTCCCTCCCATGCCCGATGAATGCAAGAGCTGCATGTGCACATGGGGATTGCTAGCGATGCAGACAGCCAGGCAGAGGTTGCGCCCCTCACTGCAATGTGCAGCACTGGCCTGCTGCTGCCATGCACCACTGACAGGTTGTCTGCGTACCACTGGTGGTATGTACCACAGATTGGGAACCACTGCCTTAGGATATTAACTATGTCTTAGATGGCTCTAAAACATTTGATCTAGAGAAGTAACACATTTCTGATAACTAATTCTTGGTGTTGTCAAAGTTATGCCTTTTCCTGAGGAGGGATACTCAATGGAATGATGTGATTTTTAACGTCTTAAGTTTTCCAAAATCTTTAAGTGCATCTTGTGCATTGTTTTCATTCTGTGATCAGAGCTATTAAAGAATATTATTGTGTGCATTATGAGGGCTTGCAACTGTAAATCTTGCAATTCTAAATCACTGGGACTTTCAGCTTTTTTAATTAATTTTAATTTTTTAACATACAGAAACACTGAGTTGTATAAACTGGCCATCTTATGTTGACATAACACAGAAGAAACAGGTTCTGAGAGTTTTACTTTTCTCCACAAACACAGCTCTGTTCCATGAACAGTCAAGATTCTTTTATTCCTTTTTGTGAGTGCACCAGAAGTGTAACTTTAAAAACATATTATTATAAGTGGCCAATTTTCATTGGCACTTACCCTCTATCTGAATTTTAGTAGTACTTTAAACAGGGTCCATGCTTTCTCATGCTCTTTTGGAAGAGTTTATGTATTTGGGGGTTTTATGGAAAACTTTTATTTTAGCTATATAGAGCTTCTAGTTCACTGTTGCATGTCGGGTTTCAGTTTACAGAGATGATGTCGATGGATGTAGCAGACAGCACTCAAGTCTATGCTGCCTTCTTGGTTTACTTGGACCTCTTAGAAGGTAAATCAGTGAACTTTTGTCAGTATGGGATGAGAAATGCGAGCAATAAACTGACACAGTAGGCATTGTGACTCTTAAAATCTACATACTAAGATTGTAGATCCCATGCCCTGGGTATCCCCTCCAAAATTAAGCACTGGACTAATTGGTTACACCAGGGGTCAACAACCTATGGTCCATGGGCCAGATCCAGGCCGCCAAGCAATTTCATTCAGCCTGTGAAGTCCATGCCACTTGTTACGCCTGTGCTGATGCAGGTTGGCCTCCTCTGGCTTAACAAAGGACAATATGAGGTTAGCCAAGTCTTAAGAGATGCCATACTGGGCCAGACCACAAAACATCTAGCCCAGTATCTTTTTTTACAGTTACAGAGAGATTGGTGGCATTTCAGTAACAAGGCAATTCAGCAGTGGGGGCGTTTGGCTGTGGTCAGCTCACTCATGCATCAGTAGCATAGAGAAGCAGTGGTGGCCAGGTTGGAAGTGCTAACCCACCTCAAACTAAATGTTATTTCGATCTGCCCCTCCTAAGAGATTCCTGACCCAGTGTTATGCTGATCAACTACCAGTGGGGCACATGGAGATAGCTAGTGCTAAGTGCCCTGGGGTGGAAAGTTTATTTGCATTACAGTGGTAACTGTAGCCCTCAACTATGATTGACATCAGTTTGTGCTAGGTGTTTTTTTGGGTACATTATTGGAGACAGCCTGTGCCCTAAAGAACTTACCATGTAAATAAATAAAAATGAAAGGAAGGAGGGAAATTGAGGTATAGAAAGGGGAAGTGTCTTGCTGAAGGTGGCCCAGCAGTCCAGTGCCAGGCATTTGGAATGAACTGAGTTGAAGATCTGGTTTTTAATGACTGTCAGTCACTTTGCAGAAGTATTATTCATAAATTGATAACTTGAAGCTGAATGGGAAAAAAGTCTTGTAGGAAGTATTTTTCAGAGGAGTAAAATATAAAAAAGCAGTGGGAAGTTTAGCTTTAGTCTCAATAATGCAAACTGAGTAAGACCTATGTTTTTATTCTCTCTTTTCAATAATGGACACTTCAAGGAAGAAACTGGCCAGAGGTGACATGCATTGGATTAGCAGAGTTACAGCTAGTATGTCTCCAGGGACGCGAGAGAGAAACTGAGAGCTTCCAAGTGGTGGTGCCCACACCTGTCCACATGTCATTCAGCCATGAGAGGTGAGCAGGTGATTACTGGATACTTCATGCTGGTATACTAGTAAGATAAAATGGAGGGAGGAAGTAGTGAAAGGGCGGCTGGCAACTTGGATTAAGGTCTGAAAGAAACATTCTTTTTTAAAACAAAAAAAATGGCAGAAAGAGAACAAATTCTAATGTGAGCAGAATTCCTTCTAGTATTTGGAACATTTCATAGATTATTTTTTTTCTTAAGACTTACCCACTCCTGGTTTATGATATCTAATACAAGATGAAGAGTCTGTGTTCATAAACTCTGGAAGCACATGTAAGTTTTAAATAAAATTGAATTAACAATAAACACAACCAGTGATGTTTGCGAGGCAGGATTTAAACAAAGGATCTTTGCCATTGACTCCTTTTACCTTCTGTGTGTCATTTTTTCTCCCCTCTGTAATGCGGTAAGAATTACCTCTCAAGGGGTTTATACAAAAAAGTCAGTACTTCTAAAGTACCTAAAATAAATATTTATTCTCACTCAGTTGGGGTTATTTTTGTCAGATACTGAGTCATAAGAATGAATCCTTCATTTTTTCTCTCTTGCTTAGAGAAAGGTATTTTGCTATTCAAGATTTGGGGTTTGGAAAATGATGCACAATATTTTTTTCTTTTGGAGAGAAGGGAAAGCTAGCAGCGAGGGATGTCAGCTAGTCTCAGTGAACTTACTTATACACATGCCTTTTTGGTTTACTTGAGTGTGGTGGTTTTCCATCAGAGAATCAAGGTTTCCACTCTGGTGTTGGGTGGATGCCAGCAGTTCTTGTTTTAACATGCATATATCTGGGAAGTGCTGCACAAACTTGCATCCTATCTTCTAGTTTTCATTGGGCTTTACATTCATGGAGTTTGAATTTGTTTGTTCTGTGGTAGTACTGTTTGCTCTGTTTCTGGCATCAGCATGGATGGAATCCATTACTGCAAGGATATGTGTTTGAGTGGCAGAGTGAATGAATTACATTGACTAAAAGTACAGTTTGTGACCAGTCCTTGCTGCAGAGTAAATATATCAGCTGCGTTGTCATTAAAATATGTTCTAGCTAATACAGTTCTCAACTGGTAGATGAGTTCATTAAAACTTTGTATTTGTTTATACCCAATAGGAAAATAGTATGTTCAATGTATTGGTACAATTGAATATATGATTCTGTGCCTCCAGTATACCATGACTGGTGCCTCAAGGGTCACCATAAAAAGGGCGCAAAGCTCATTCCCAAACATACCTATACTGAATTTCATGAATGCCTGCTGATGGGAAGGCCTGCCGCTTCCCATCTGATGATGTGCATAATGCAGCTCAGTGTCAGTTTTCTTGGTGGGATATATATTATGCAAAAGGTAATGCTCTAAGTACAGCTTCTACAGCAGTAATTCTCAACCAAGGTGCTATGACAGCCTCAGTGGGGTGCTGCTGGAAGAGAGGAGATAAGCAAGATGAGGGCCACAGTCTTCCTTTACAGCCACTCTTCCTCTTCCCCCAACTCACTGCAGTGCTGGCGTTTCCGTCAGCTGCTCCTTCTCCTTCCCTGCCCCTTTTCAAACATGTAAGTACTATAATAAATTAGTTTTTGAAATGGGATGCAGCTCAGTTCACAGAAGTTATAGGAGGGATGTCTCAAAAGTTGAGATCTACTGGTCTAGAGAAATCATTATACTGTAAATAGCCCCCAAGTCATGCAGCACATATACAGGCCATTTCTAAAATGCATTTTTAAAGCAGGTGGGAAGTGCAGCTATTTCTGCAGTATCTCTGACACTTTTTCCCCGACCCTGCTTCTCCTCCTGACAACCGCCCATTTTTCTACTAAAATGTCAAGCTTGCTGCACGTCACAAGTACCTATTGTCATTTCTTACAATACCACTTCACAGTTAGCTCATG